CCGAGCATTTTTATACGGTAGCTAAACTAGGGACAGTGTTGAAAGCAGGAAACGACACTAAACCTTTCTTTTATCATCCAATGTATAAGGATTTCAAGATTTATGTAGTATTTGACCCTTGTCATATGCTTAAAAATATAAGAAATTCTTTATGTGACTTAAATATACTAAAGGACCACCAAGGGAATTTAACAAAGTAGGAGTATATTGAAAATTTGGTGGCATTGCAGGAAACTGAGGGCCTGAGGTTGGTAAATCGACTAAGGAGCTTGCATGTATATTATAAAAAAATGATAACGAAAGTTTATCTTGTAGCTCAAACACTTAGTAGCAGTGTAGCAGATGAAATCGAATGTTGCGACACTATTTTACAACTTCCAGAATTTAAAGGTTCAGCTTCCACAGTTTTATTTAAAACCTTATTTTTGATTTTTTGGATGTGAGAAATCCATGGGGTGTGGATATAAAGGATCTAGGACTATAAACGAGGAAAGGTGGAGGTTTAAAATAATGGATGAAATTAATTACCTCAAAATAAAACTATATGATGATAGGTTGGTGGTACAATCACGACCTAAAGCAGATTTTTTGGAGTTTTACAATGCAGTTATTTCTGTTCTTTATATTTACGACACATTAATATGATACATAAATAGAATGGACGTTACGGGTAGAGACCATCTATTCATAGAGTCCACTCTATTTATTTAGGTATAGAATTTTTATCGATATATTTTGTCACACTGTCTTATAGCCGTGGACGTTCACTTCTGCTGTCAGCGCCAGAATGGCGCAAATCAAATCACCTAATTATGTCACGGTGTATAGCTAGTCCAGCGTACTTGTATATATAGAGATCAGTGAACATAATATATATGTATGTTGTTCAGCTCCATGAAGCATGTTCATGTTCAGATCCATGAAGGTTAGAGAACAAGAGATCGATAGCCGTAGAAAATAGTGTCCCAGAAATATAGACACCATCAGTGAGGCGCTGCGATCACTAAGTGCAGTCAATAAAAGTCATTTTCAGTCTATTTTTCCGATCAGATGCTCAACCACTTGTTACACGAATTGTGCAAGTTGTGCAAGATGCTCAACCACTTGTCAAAAATTACAAAATTACGGAGTATGAAAATTTGAAAATAAAAATGGAGAAATATTTTATTGTGCTCGGGTATGCAAGTGGTTGAGCATCTGATCGGAAAAATAGACTGAAAAGGACTTTTATTGACTGCACTTAGTGATCGCAGCGCCTCACTGATGGTTTCCATATTTCTGGGACACTATTTTCTTCGGCGATCGTTCTCCTGTTCTCTAACTTTCATGTTCAGATCAAAGAGAATACAATTGATAACCTATATTTTAGATGTGATGTTTTGTATAGTACTTGTAAGGGCCGCCACATACATTAGGAATTACTTTTCAAAAACCGATTCGGAAATTCTATTCGGGATTACGTATATACATCACACATATACGTTTATTTCCCTTCAATATAACGAGACACTCCCACGATACAGGTGAAAATCCTAGTCTAGGGGTAACGTTTTAAAAAAAATAAGATAAGATAAAAAAGAGACGCTAGCCCTTGAGACCTCCAGACATTCTACCAGCGAATATGGACGATGATTTTCTGATTGAGATTGCATTTTTGCTGTATTATTGTTATTGCCTCAGACAAAGTAGTTTTTATTTTGTCTGAGGTTATTGCACCCAATGTGTACGTAACACACTAAGATTGCAAAATAGTAAATATTATGTAAAAGGATATATTTATCTAGAGATTTTTTTTAAATATGGATCTTTATATCTCTTTCGACGAACTACTAAACAAAATAAGGTGTGAAAAGTTACGAAAAGACATATACATATAAGTTTAAAACATGTAAAAATATACATAAACACACCTACTCGTTACGGTTGTTGCACGCACACTAGTCTCCGCTAGGAGTAAAAGTATTCCGTACACACTACGAGGGGCACACCGAAATGATAGGGAATAAGAAAAACCACATGCACGGTATAGCTGTAATTGTATTTTATTGTTTTTCGAAGTATTCTCCGTTCAACTTAATGCACTTTTCCGTTCGTGCAAATCAATCATTAAAACAGTAATTCCAGTCAGAAGTTGATGTTGACAAAATGGCTGATTTGTACGCTTCTACAGCTGCTTCGGGGTCTTCAAACCGTTGGTCGCGTAATAAATCTTTTATTCCAGCGAATGTACAGAAATCATTTGGGCTCAGGTCAGGACTGTACGGATGATGGCTCATCAGATCAACGTTTTCATGCTTCAAAAAATCATTTGTCTTCCAAGCCGCATGGGAGCTCGCATTATATAAGACTTACGTTCGGAACGGCTTTATTCCGTGCGGGATTCCGAATGCGCAGGCAATCATGTGGAATTTCGAATGGAAGAAAATATTGAACGGAGAACTACTGTACTACGTTGTGGTAGTTCCTTGATTTTATATGGCTTTGCTAATTTTTATGCTCCGTAATTGTAATGACAAAAATAAACATTAAAAAATAGAGAAATATTTTATTGTGCGTGGATGTGTAAGTGGTTTAGCATCTGATCGGAAAAATAGACTGAAAATGACTTTTATTGAGCAATCTATCGCAGCGCCTCATTTATGGTGTCCATATTTCTGGGACACTATTTTCTACGGCGATCGTTCTCCTGTTCTCTAACCTCCATGTCTCAGTTAGTCACTGACTGAATTAGAGAGGCAATCTTTGGCTCTTGTGTAAGAAAGAAAGAAAGGCCATTTATTTGATAATCACACTTTACACACAATTTTTGAAATTTGAATATAAATTACAATGGACAAGGAATATGCATGCGAAAAATAATTTTTAATGCGTAAGCAGTTTTACACCTGTAAGACTGCTTACGCATTAAAAATTATTTAATAAGTAGAACATGCATGATGTTAATTAATAATGAAACTAAAAAAAAATTAAAAAAGAATTTAAAGATAAAATGTGACATCAAATAGGTTTCCAACTCAGCATAATGCTGCAGAGGCAGCGCTGGTTTTCAGTCGGAACCATGTGACTTCACTGACGAGTCGTTGTGTGAACCTCGAATTACGCGTAACTACAACTTATAAACTATTATTAATTAGGCAGTGGGTTAAAGAGTAGTGCTAACGAACACAGTTAACACAGACATACTTTTAATATCAATATTAATGGTGTGTAGTACATACACTATACCTATACTTACATAATATAACATATTTGGTTCTATGGGGAAGACAAAGCAAAGTAGCAATAAAATTTATGATTTTATTACAAATATAATTTATATTCTGTACTAAATGGGACACGCCATGTTACGAGACCTCCTAGATTTTTTTTTTAGAAAATAAAAAGTAAGATTAAAAATAAACAAATAATAAATGGTCATTCATCACATATGTAACAGAAATAAACAATAATCAATAATATTTGAACTGTTTTTTGAGTACGCTAGTACTTCTTATTGGTTTGTGCTCTTGTCGTTGATTGGCTACTGATGGTTCTCGAGTTATGTTTACGTTTCGTATTGGTGGCTTGCGAGTGTGGGTGTACGAAAAGAGCTGTTAGACCCATGAAGGATAGAGAACAGGAGGACGATCGCTGTAGAAAATAGTGTCCCAGAAATATGGACACCAAGGGGCGCTGCGATCGCTAAGTTCGGTCAATAAAAATTCATTTTCAGTCTATTTTTCCGATCAGATTCAAAACCACTTGCATATCCACGCACTATAAAATATTTCTCAATTTTTTTATATTTCTTTTTGTCAAAAATTACAAAATTACGGAGCATGAAAATTTTCTCACCAATGCCGAAAATTTGTACATTATTCCACTAACTTCATCTACTTGTACTCATAAACAGCTAACTTCGCAGTCACTACTCACCGACGTCATCGCCGCTATAAATTCTACAATTTTCAAGGACAGGCGGGCTGTGTTTTAGTACGTAGTGATTGTAGTCCTGTTCTCTAACCTTCATAGTTAGACCGATTAACAACCACCATTCGGAAACGTTTCTTTTAGTACAGTGCCAAGATACGTTTCCTAATCGTTCATCGTTCCCGAACTACATAAGACTATAATGGCTCTGTTGAGACTGACCACGATGATCGGAATTCTATGTGGATTTGCATATTCGGTATGAAAAAATTTCATTGCGATAGTTTACCGACGCAATTTAGGTTATATTATTCATTTACCATGTAGGGGTTGGTGTAATCCACTACGCCTATATCGTTTCCGTGGGTGTCGTGAGTGCCGACAGAGGGAAACTGAAACAGGAGATGGGCAGCAGCATCTTTCAGATAAAACTCGAAATAATAAAAATACTGCGGTTGCCGTTTGCCAACCTGCCTGCTCAGTGCGGCAACTGCGGCAAAAATCTCCCTTTGTTGCAATCTATGGGGGAGGCTGCTGAGGTTCAGCTGCGGACTACTATGGGCTGTAATGGATGGATGGATTCATTTACGGTACGTGAGTTTTCAGTATTTCTACACCTAAAGGTTCATACAAACATATGTCACGTCAAAAAATTGGTTTAGTAGAAGTGGAACACACGTAAGTCACGCCACGACTGGCACGTCGCACGAAACGTGGTGTACTCGCTACAATGCACCACGTTTTTAAGGTGAATGCGTCTGATCAGCAACTTGACGGTGACTTTAGTGATGTGTGTGCATAAACCTTTAAATTCTCGACGTCAAGTCTATCGGTATATTCTAGGTTCGATGGTACATTCCGTCAATTAGATATATCTCTAAAGAATAAGAAATCGCGAATTCGCACTCGATGGCACCGACTGAATTCTTTCCTTTCGATTGTTTAAGCATCACGTGCTCACTCATGGTTTGTTTTATTTGAAATGAAAAAAAAAACAATATGTAATACATCCCTTTTTAATAGTATGTATTGGGTAATTAACTACATTTCTCATAATAATATATGTACTTCTAAATTTAAAATAATTATGTTTAGAATTTGAATTCCTTGTACTTCTTCGCTTGTTTTGAATCTGTATTCTGCTGTCGTTTCCTTTTGTTCTGTAAAAAAAAAAAAACATTTAAATAACACAATATAGGAAAGATGTTTTTGATACAACTTCAATGCTGTGAAACCAAAATCCTAACAATCAATGATTGGCCAGAAAACTGTTGATACAAATAGCTTTTTAAGGTACACTAGTATCGCGCTGGACTAAGGCAATAATTATACTAGTTATTTGATTGCAGCTATATCATAGTTGTAGCACGAATATGTCGGCTCAACCAGGGCAGGGCTACGCTCTCTCAGAATACCAGCGTCAAATAGCAGCGTAATGCTGCTTTCGTATGAGTGTAGAGAGCCGGAGACCCTTTTTACTGGAATCAAGGCATTCCATCTTAGTCCTCAGGGGTGACAACGCGTTTGCATTTTGATTCTTAATTGAAGATAAATGTGAATGTCTGTGAGCCACAGCTTCCACTTACCATCAGGTGGACTGGGTGCTCGTTTGTGACCCAATGCTATAAAAAACTGTCTAAAATATTTCATTTAAGAGTAAGACTTATATTAGCACTCATGTCATAGCTAATTTTAATTGAAAAATTATTTTAAATATTTGTACAAAATGACAAGCGAATTTACATCTGATGGTTAATTAACTCCAGTCCATGGGCATCTTCATTCAACTCCAAACATAAAGAAGGTTATAGATGCGTTTCGGGCTATTATTATACAGACTATATTCTACCGACGGGTGGTTACAGCGTTAATTCATTTGTCGTTTCAATATTGAGAGTTTTGGCTGTTCCTGTATTTTTATAAAGTAGTAAAGTAGTGGATTTTGATATGTAAAAAGTAGTGCGATTCTGTGTACTAAATGTTTGCGCACGTGAACTTAGTGGAAACAATCTAGCAAGTGCTTCAATTGTGATATAAATATAATGATTTTTATCAGGTTAGGGCTCCTGATATATTATTGTCATGTGTCCGCTGGGTTAAGCTGTGTTCACTTTATTAAAAAGTTGCATCACATTAGTGACGCATCAGCATATTGCTAAGAGTTTTGTGAACAAAATACAAATCAGATTAGGCTGTATGGCCTAAAACTTTTGCCTGCCTTAATAAGTGAATTTATGAATCAATGTTGCAGAAAACATTGTCGAGCGTGGTTAGGGTGTGGTGGCAGCGTAACGATAACGTTGTAGAAAATGCTGACCTTCTGGCGCGCGACGTGGTCGGCGAGCATGTCGGAGAGGTCCTCCTTGTGGCGTGGGCGCTGCTCGCGCAGGTGACGCTCGTAGCGCGCCGCCACCGCCTCGGGCTCCAGCTCCAGCTCGGACGGGTCGAGCGCCACCTCTACGCCGCCGTCCCCGGCGCCCGCGCCGCCCCCACCCGCGCCCGCCCCTGCGCCCGCGCCTGCACCCGCACCCGCCGCACGCTTGCCTGCAACACGCAGTTTTACGATTATTGCACGAACTAACAACCAATGTATTTCAATGTAACAAACTTAACTTTATGTACCCAGCTCTTACTTTATTACAATACTTTTTATATGAATATGGCGCTCAATTCACTGGCGTTTCCCTTCCGTGTAAAATTTAAACTTTTTAATTATAACATATGTTGCTGTCAAAATGTTACATGTCATAGTTATTTAACGGATATGCCGGTTTACGTACAGTGTTTTCCTTTATCGCTGTATACGACATAAAAATATATGATGATTAAAAAGTATTACTCTGTAAGTAAACTGTTTTGTGTATTACAATTATTTTCACTATAAAAAGAAATTACCTAAACTATCGGCGTCCTGAAGCTTGAAACCGGGCGGCAGGAAACAAGCTTCAGAACGCCGATAGTTTAGGTAATATCTTTTTACAGTGAAAATAATGGTAATTTAAAAAAAATAAAATACGTAAGTCCTGCTTTATAGTTAGTTCAGTTAGAATGCAAAGTTTCATGATCTTATTTAAAGTATTTCATGAATAACAGCAGTTTATTGTTCAGTTTGGAGGTAACTTTGGATTTTTTTTTCTATCGAGAAAATTTTACGGAATCATGTTTTCGTCTAACATAGTACTTAACATTAATCCTCAACTTTACCACATATTTATTTCAAAATTAATGCTGCAATATTTTTGGCATAACGGAGGATCTTGCTAAGCCATTTGAGGTTATATTCCCCCTTAAAATGTGTCTACATATATGAAACTGTTATTTCTTATTATATTATCGAGAAAATGTTTCAATACATTACATAACGTACATAATGTATGGAACATAACGCACATTCTTATCGCTGCTATAAACTGCATTGATTTGGCTAAAAATTTGTTTGAGACAAGCCTTTGGGTACTTTTCATACCTTACTTCCGATGCCATAATAGAGAAATTTCTTACCAGGATTTGCAGCATTGATATCGTAGACGTGTGTGGATGCCATCATCCCCGATGTGAGCCCAACTCGTCTCTCGGGCAGCACTTGGTAAAGAGCTGGTGTGTCGCCACTGTGAAAAAAACATATTGCCTTTAGATATGACATTTAAAGAACTTTCATATGAGTTGACGGTAAATGGTTATTGCAGCCAATAGGCCCTATATGTTTGTGGAACTCAACCAATTTAGTTTTATTTAAAAATATGGCTCTATAGCCATCTTTAAAAAAATTGTCTTTGTCTTTGAGGACTATGATGGTATATGAAATATTAATATGCATTTTATTAATGACTTTGTCGGGGGTTAGTCTACTCCTAACTTTTTGATATTATCAGTAGGACTAGATTAACACCTATTCTGCTCTCCTGTCCGGCGAGCAGTTTGGCGAATGGCACTGGGGGAGAGCGTAGGTCGTGTTGATCCCCAGGGCAAGTCTGAGGAGTTCTTCTTCACGTGGTTGCCTCCTGTTATTTGGTCTGGTTCAATAGGAAACAGACAGAACTGTAACACTCAGACGATCCTTTTATCTTTTATCCCACCCCCTATTTTCCATCCTAGCCTAATCCAAGGTGTCAAGCGTACCGTGCCGATGGATGCGTGACTGGGGGGAGTCCAGTCGCAAACGGTGCCTACCCGAGACCAGGGCAATTCGGGTAGTATTTTAGCCATTCCCTCCGCATGCGGGGCTCTGCCGGGGGTGACCGAATATTTCCCTAGCTAATCGTGGAACCAAAATGGACGATAATCGACATTTTGAAAAGATTACCGAAAAATCTCCTCTAATGGAACTATCTGTAGGTTTGGAAAAGGCTCTTTTAGCCTCACCAATATCCTGCAACACTACGCCCCAACCTGGGACGAGCCGTGAAGTGGAGGGCACGTCTGCAGCCGAACCACAATCGGAAACGAACCAGAGAGGGGAAAAAGAAAAAGTAGCAGCTGAGATATGAGCCGAAGAGGCCCTCTCTCTCTGCCAGAAGCCCTGGGACGAAATTCCTCTGCCCAAACCTCCCGTAGTTCCGAAGGCGAAAAAACTCAGTCGGTCTGAGGAAGAGTCCCCCAAAGACCAGCACAGGAAGTCTGTGAAGCTGGCAACGGGGGAGAAGAAGCTCAGCTTCAGTGCCGTAACTGGCTCCGCGCGTGTGGGAATTCGCAATTCGAATCCCATGAGTGTGGACCAGATGCGGCTGGTCCACCGGGCACTAACACGGGCCATCGCTAAGACAGCCTGTGGGGTACAGCCGGGAATGGGACCAAAATTTTCGGGTTTCACTCACAAAGCAGGTTGGATTCTGGTAACGTGGATTTGGTGGATTGTGGGTGAGATCGGAAAACTGAAACCCTGAATTGTCGACTGCCGGTAAGATTCTTGTCAATACTAAAGGCAGTAGACCCAGAGCTTGTATAATTTACAATAAAAATATTGAACTTTTAGCTATTCCAGAGCAACTGCAATGATGACCTGGTTACAGCCTTCATAAATCTCAAGGGATGCACAGTGGCCAGAGTAATCATTTGCTCAGCCTATCTTCCCGGAGAGAACTCAGATCCTACCATCGAGTTAGAGCGAGTGGCGGAGTTCGCCCGAAAACACAACGCCGAACTTGTGGTGGGTTGTGATGCTAATGCTCACCACACAGCCTGGGGAAGCACTAACATCAACGAAAGAGGTGAGCTACTCTATGATTTTCTCATCTCTAACCGCCTGGTAAGCCTAAACTTAGCGTGTACACCAACCTTTGTTACGCGAGCTAGGCAAGAAGTGTTAGACATAACCTTCGCTACTAATAACATATCCAGGCGGATAAATGACTGGCATGTTAGTAGTGAAAATTCGATGTCTGATCACAAACACATTAAGTTTGTGATTGGAGCATCACCAACCTATGAAACCGTTACTTTTAGGGATCCAAAAGCGACCTCCTGGGATATCTATAGAGATAACCTAAGGAGGAATTTGGAAAAGTTTCCTAAAAGCATCAAAACGATTGAAGGTTTGGAGTTAGCGACGGAGACAGTAACCGTAGGTATTCGTGAAGCCTTCGAGGACAGTTGTCCCGTCAAAACCAAGACCTCAACACGAAAAGTTTCTTAGTGGAATACTAAGCTAAAATAACTTAGGGAAAAGACCAGGACACTATTTAATAGGGCTAAGAAAACCAAAGAGTGGGATATTTATAGTGCAGCCCTAACTGAATATAATAAAGAAATTAGAAAAGCCAAGAGAGCATTGTGGAGGAAGCTATGCGAGGAAGTTGAGTCTTTACCTCGAAGTGCAAGACTACACAAAATGCTATCAAAAGCGAAATCTAATCAGATCGGACTTCTTAAAAAACCTGATGGTAACTTCACTAATAGTGAAACAGAAACATTGGAGTTACTAGCGTCAACCCATTTCCCAGGGTCACTCAAGACCTCAGCCTTAAATTCTTTCAGAGCCCTACGAAGGCCTTGTAATGAGGACTGGTGTAGGCTGCAAAGATAATAAGGCCAAACCTGGTGCAATGGGATGTTGACTCCTATAAACCAGTTAAAACATGCGGGGAGGATGGAATAATTCCCATCCAACTGCAGATGGGTATTGACATCCTTCTTCCCTATCTGGTGAAAATCTTCAGAGTAAGTTTTGCCTGGGGATATATTCCAGAACGATGGACAATTGTCAAAGTTCTATTTATACCTAAGGCTGGTAGAAAGGACTATGCTTTACCAAAGTCCTTTCGACCTATAAGCCTATCTTCCTTTCTCCTTAAGACATTGGAAAAGGTTATAGATAGATATATAAGGGATGTAGCTCTAGCTACGAGGCCCATACATTACAACCAGCATGCTTACCGCAGAGGCAAATCTACGGAAACAGCCCTGATCAGTGTTATTGACAGGGTCGAAAAAGCACTGGAGGAAGAGGATAAAGAAATAACTCTTTGTGTCTTTCTAGATATTGAGGGCGCCTTCGACAGTAGCCCCACATCACTGCTGATTGGGGGCCTGACGTCTAAAAATGTTGACCCCACAACCATCAGATGGGTGAAGTCGATGCTCTCAAACAGAAAGGCAAAAATAGCGCTGTTTCAAACTTCGATTGAGGTTGCGACTACAAGAGGCTGTCCACAAGGAGGTGTTTTGTAACCCCTTCTTTGGACTCTTGCGGTTGACCAACTATTGTACAAAATGGCAGACTTACGCATTGACATACTGGGTTATGCTGATGACCTTGTGGCCATTGCGAGGGGCTTTTGCCAAAGTACTTTATCGTCAATAATACAAAGAGCCCTAAACACCATAAATAACTGGTGTAGGGATAACAGTTTATCAGTTAATGCTGATAAAACTGTTATAATACCCTTCACCAAAAAGAGACGGTTGGACAAGATAGTCAAACTAAAACTTAATGGTAAACAAGTACCATTTTCCACGGAAGTTAAGTACTTTGTAAAAATCGACCAAAAACTAACGTCGAACTCTCACCTTAGCAACGTATGCCATAAGGCAAAAATTGCTTTAGTTACATGCAGTCGTTCGGTCAGGAACAACTGGGGCTTGCGACCCAGTATGGTCCTATGGCTGTACAGCAGCATAGTGAGGCCGATTCTCACCTACGCCTCTATTGTCTGGTGTAACAAGGCCAACCAAAAGATGACTGCGGACAGACTAAATAGTCTACAAAGGACTGTCTGCTTAATGACAACTGGAGCTACCCAATCATCGCCTGGAGCGGCTCTTAATGCACTTCTATGCCTAACGGCCCTTGATCTCTACCTAGACAACGAGGCGAGGGCTAGTTTGTATAGGATTAACGCCCAGGGCGGTCTGAGCTTGCTTTCCTACAGATAGAGATCCATTCTCGATTCAATTAAGGAATCACTGGTCTTATGCATGATCTCAGATATCATGCGTCCACTACACACTTTTGATAAAAAGTATATAGTGGAATTACCCTCCAGAGAAGACTGGCTGAATGGCCAGGTTATCTGTGAGGTCGGTAGCCATGTACGGTATACCGATGGGTCTAAAATGGGCCTCGACGTAGGATTTGGAATTTACAGGGGAACGCCCCAAATTTAAACTTAGCATGAATTTGGGCAGATAAACCTCTATCTTCCAAGCAGAAATTTTCGCCATACTTCGGTGTGTGGAAATCAATCTGCAAAAACACTACGTTAACCATATAATTTACATAAACTCTGATAGTCAAGCAGCACTGCTAGCGCTGAGGTCAAACTTAGTGAACTCGAAGCTAGTTGGAGACTGCATGAACCGTTTAAACGCCCTGGGATGTAACAACAGGGTCGTTTTAAGATGGGTTCCGGGTCACGAGGGTATTGTAGGCAACGATTTTGCCGACAAACTTGCACGGGAGGACTTAAAGTGCACACAATTTGGACCTGATCCATTTTGTGGAATCTCAAGAAGCCTAGCCCGATTGACCCTTGAAACACAAATCACTTAAGATCTGGTCTGACACACCAGGCTCAAAACATTCTAAAACCTTAATCCGGCCTTTTGATCGTAAATTCGCTTCAGAAGCGCTGGGATTAAATAAAAATAAATTACGCATTCTGGCGAGAGCCCTAACTGGACACTGTTGTCTTAAAAAGCACATGTCCATCCTGGGACTAAGCAACTCAAGGATGTGTCGGTTCTATTCCATAACGGAAGAAACGCCTCTACACATCCTAACCGATTGCGGACCCTTAATGCGCAAACGTAACACTCATCTGGGAAACTATGTACTCCGCCCAGAAGAAGTGAAATTGCTCACGGCTAAGCAACTCCTTCTATTCATTGAAGACATAGGGCTTAGCCATGAACTATAGCCATAGCAGCGATCACAATAGATCTTCTAGGTCGCATAGCTGCTCGCACTTAATAAAAAAAATACCCTATACAGGCGTCACCAGCCCCTCGCCCGGCGTGGCCGTACCGCCTCCTCTAGTAGTGATCAGGCACAGTAGTGTTGGGTACGCTGATGCAGGTGCGTGGGACTCACCCCTCGATGTCGCTGTCGAGCTTCTTCTTGCGCAGCTCGATGGTGTCGGGCGTCTCGACGCCGGGCGGCACGGAGCTGATGCCGAGCGGCGTCACCAGCCCCTCGCCCGGCGTGGCCGTGCCGCCTCCTCTAGTAGTGATCAGGCACAGTAGTGTTGGGTACGCTGATGCAGGTGCGTGGGACTCACCCCTCGACGTCGCTGTCGAGCTTCTTCTTGCGCAGCTCGATGGTGTCGGGCGTCTCGACGCCGGGCGGTACGGAGCTGATGCCGAGCGGCGTCACCAGCCCCTCGCCCGGCGTGGCCGTGCCGCCTCCTCTAGTAGTGATCAGGCACAGTAGTGTTGAGTACGCTGATGCAGGTGCGTGGGACTCACCCCTAGACGTCGCTGTCGAGCTTCTTCTTGCGCAGCTCGATAGTGTCGGACGTCACGACGCCGGGCGGCACGGAGCTGATGCCGAGCGGCGTCACCAGCCCCTCGCCCGGCGTGGCCGTGCCGCCTTCTCTAGTAGTGGTCAGGCACAGTAGTGTTGGGTACGCTGATGCAGGTGCGTGGGACTCACCCCTCGACGTCGCTGTCGAGCTTCTTCTTGCGCAGCTCGATGGTGTCGGGCGTCTCGACGCCGGGCGGCACGGAGCTGATGCCGAGCGGCGTCACCAGCCCCTCGCCCGGCGTGGCCGTGCCGCTCGCCACGCCCGCGCCCGTCGCACCCGCCGCACTGCCCTCCTCCTCCGAACCGGACTCTTCTGTGAATATTATGTTCTAATGTTAAACAGTGTCCGACTTCCAACTTCGGTAAAACTTGAGCCCATTTCGGCCAGTTTCTAAGATGCGTGGCAATTGGACAACCTGTTACAAATGAGCGTGTGAAAATTACCTTTATACAACACTAGCTGTTACCCGCGGCTTCGCCCTCATGGTCACTGGGAAATGAACTATCCATTGCTTTTTGAATTGAAAGAAAACTGAGTTTTATAGATTTGTCAGAGATGCAGCCATTAAAAGGAAACTGAGCAAAATTGATTCGTCAGCCTATTTAAATGTTTTGAAACGCAGCGTATAGGAAAGCATGAAAATAGCCTGTTTATTCCAAATGGAAATGGGATATTTTTTTTAATTATAGGAAACTGAGCATAATTATCCGTCAGGGATGCAGACTTTTGAAAAGAAACTGCGCTAAATTGATTCGTTAGAGATGCAGTTTTCTGAATTGAAAGGAAACTGAGTCAAATAAAAGATCCGTCAGAGATGCAGCTTTTTGAGTTGAAAGGAAACTGAGCTTAATAGGTCCGTCAGAGGTGCAGCATTTGGAATTGAAAAGAAACTGAGCTAAATAGGAAATTTTGAATTGAAAGGGAAGATCTGTGGGAATTCTGATTAATTGATTGTGGGAATTTTGGAAAAAAAAAAACTAACTGAACACTATTTTAAGACGCTACTGTACACAATGAGGGGGGGGGTGGGGGGTTTTTTTGGTGTTGGTTTTTTTCTTGGTGTACGTTGTTGGTTTTACCGGAACCCCTTTTTAAATTTTTTTTTTCTATTTTTTTTTTTTTTTTTTTTTTTATTCTAAATAATTTTTTTTAATAAATTTTTAAATTATAAAATGTTGTGTGTGCTTATATGTTTTTCCATTCGGGGAAAGAATGTGGAGATTCTGGGCATTTGACACACGCGAACATACTACATACAGCTGACCATGAGAGAAGCACGGTTTTTCTAAGTTGACCCCCGCTACCTGTAACGTTTGCCCTTGCGCTTTATTGATTGTCATTGCAAAACTGAGCTTAATAGGGAACTGCAACCTTTTGAATTGAAAAGGAAGATCTGTGGGAATTATAAGGATCCGTGGTATAAAAATATTTTTACCTTTTCCTACGCCTGTACAAATTGTAGCACCGATTATGTTCCGTCCAAGATGTGTCACACGCAGCCTTGTCCCGTTGCATAACCGAGGAGCATCTAAATTTCGCATTAGCATGACTGGGACGCCTAATTTTAATTGAAGCATGTGAGGGCACACCTGACAACTTTAGAGAATTTAGAAACTCTGCGGGATATGAAGTGCTCTGTTCTGTGTCCATAACTGTGTCTACTGACAAATACTCTGTTATTCCTCCTGCTACTTCGCTTAATATATCTGAATTTATTTTGTTAACGCTCACATTTTTTGGTGCAAGAATCGCACTTTCACATAACCATTTGCATGTTGTTCGTTAAATCTGAATAAACGCTCGCAATTAATTCGGAATGACTCTGTACTAAATTACAAAAATCTCTCGTCAATTTAACGCAGCCCTCAGCATCCGTTTCCAACCGCTCATCGCCAATTTTTAATAGTGTCAGAATAGTTTCCAGCATTGATATCATTATACAAATGCACTGTCATATTCGTAGTTAAATTGAATTTTGTCGCCTTGTTCCATAAAATAGACGACTGGAGGCATGCTTTAATTTCATCTGCAGGTGTGCCCTTTTGAATGACAGGTAAAGTTTGGCGAAAGTCACCAGCCAGTTAAACCACCATTCCTCCCATTACATCGGTATTGCTGCGCAAATCATGGAGCGTTCGATTTAGTGCTTCTACAGCTTTTTTTATGCGACATTGTACTTTCGTCCCACACTAAAAGTTTGCATTGTCGTAGCATTATACCTCGTGCACTATTTTTGCTAAAGTTGCAGATCGGCGATTCTTCCTGGGCTAAATTTAGAGGGAGTTTTAAAACAGAATGTGCAGTGCGGCCACCGCTTCGCAGCGTGGCGGCTATACCGGAGGAAGCTACGGCCACAGCAATGTTTTTATCTTTCCGTACTTACGATAATAATAAATTTAACAAAAATGTCTTCCCAGTTCCTCCAGGGGCATCTAAAAAGAAAAGTGTACCATTTCCAGATTCAATTTGTGCTAATACTTTGTCAAAAACTCGTTTTTGTTCGGGAAGCAAGCGGGGTACAAATTCGGCTACTTGCTGCTGCAAAGCTGGTATATCGTAGTTTGTTTCACGTATAATTTAATCACTTAGTTCATTTTCGGTTGTTCGCTGAGGGCTTATCATTCCAAAGTCACTTAATTTTTTGCCTACCATTGCCATTACTTTATCTTCAATTTTTCCAAGTGCTTCATTATAAATGTGTTCATTGTATGTCATGTTCGCGTGTGTCTGCTGTAACCTTCGCAAAATATCTTCCGACATGTACTCTTTATATTTGTCCCACAATTCATATGCATTAGATAGCCCGCAAGATGATTTGAGATTTGCTTAAAGATCCCTAATTTTGGCTAGTGACTGGCACTGCACAGCTTCCTCCATGGTTTCATCCCAGTGATTATCGTTTTCTAAAAGATGCAGAGCTTCACATGCTTCTCTATAAGTTGCGCATTCCTGACCGTTGACAGTTTTAAGGTCTTAATATCCTGTAGGACCCCGAACATGGTGCAGCAGCAATCGTAAACAGAAACATTCAAAATTAGTTACATGGACGGTATACACACGACCAAGGGCATCTGATGACTTTACACCGGGCCAATTTGCAACAGGCGCGCCTTGAATACGGTGTTTCCACTCCTTCCTAGATGTGTTCCAAGTATAATAGCGGGGGACTTCAGAATATAACAACGTTTTTGCGAATGGGGTCTGTTTGACAAAGTTGAAAGAAGGCTGTTAGCGTAGTTTTTGGCGGTGATGTAATTCTTTCTTGGAAATTTCTTTCGGTGAAATATACACGCCCTCCATTTTCTAAGTGCACAGCAAGGTGAGTAACTGTTGGGTGCCTTTCGTGTAAAGGGAAGCCAAGGAGACGCCACGCTGCCTCGTTACTGCTGACATAACGCCCTGCTTGAAAGGTCTGTACTTCATTAACGGGATTTGCCTCACCTTCACTCCTGAGATTAAATATTGCTTGGTCGCTTCCTTTATTTATGTACTTACAGATATACTTGATTGCGCGGACAGAGTTACATGCTTCTACATTAATGTAGGCATTAAACATTTTACATAGAATGGGCGAATACGGGACAATCCAGCTGTTATCTAAGGTTTCGAACGCTCCAGAGCGAGATTTGATTGTAACTTTCCTGCCATCATTTTCGGGAGCTCTGCGTCTGTATAAAGGGTAGCCATTGTCATTGTGCACTGTTTCGTTTAATAGCTGTTTAGGGAATTACTTTGTACATTTTCCTTCTTTCATACATGGCGATATTGAATTTCGTGCTCCACATAGACCGTAAATCATATTTCGGACGATAGGTATCATACAATTCTTTATCTTGCTCTGGATCCGGAATCTCGGCGCTTATTATGTCGTCTATTTGGCTGGGCCGCAACTTCTCTTTAAGCCATATTAGAATGTGGGCATGCGGTAATCCTCTTTTTTGCCATTCAATTGAATACATGAAGCACTGCACCTCTCCGAAATTTTCCTTTGTTAATTACATACTATTTTTGTACTTTTAATCTAAATACTCTAGCAACTAAATCGTGTCTGTCAGTAATTTTTTGGCCCGGCATTAGCCCCTCGGTTATTTCTTTCCATGTGGGATTGCAAGTAAAAGTAACAAAAAGATCAGGTCTTCCGTAAGTTCGTACATAGGCGAATGCGTCTTGTGTGTACTTATGTAGGTAGCAGGGACTGTTAACGAATGATGAGGGCAGAATTACCATTTTACCTAAATCTCTGGGCGTCGCTAGAAACTGCATCTTGTAAATGTACATAATTCTCAACGCGCAGCTTTTTTTGATTTAAAGATATATAACGGAGATGTTTACTTTCTACCTTCACATACATGTCTACCAAAAATTGATGAAATAATTGTCTACACCGGGCTAAGAGGTTAAAATCATTTTCTCGCAACATCATATGATACGCATAAAAATCCATACATGATACTTTTTTGTTCGGAGTAGGCTCCTTTGTGACCGGGTTAATGAGTGGAATTTGAAAATGATAACCCTCTTGTCCTTTGCAATAAATCAATGTGTATTGCAGAGCGTCATAAAACTTGTGTGTATCGGCTACCCGTTGCAACGTATCATCACGTGCTCGCAAGACAATGTCTCGTGAAGAAAATTGATCACCACTAATTACGGCTGCTATTTCGTTTATCAAAGGTGCATTGTAGCGCCTTTCATGCTCTGTGTCTCTATCAACTCCCTGGATAAATTGGCAGCGACGGTCTACCTCAATTTCTTCGTCACCCATAAAATATACTTGTAAAAATTTATGCTGTTCGTTTTCAGCTGGAAAAGTGACCTATTCTATAATAAATTTGCCCTTGCACCGTAAATGTGGGCGAAAATCCCGGCATTATTATTTCCCGGTCAACTCCGAAGGACGTCATTTGAAAGCATGAGTTATATTTCCGGATCCTGTTTAAAAAGCGCCATGACTCATTAGCATCATATAAAAAAAGAGTTTTCAAAGGTTCTTCTGGTTCCCCAAGTAACGGAAGAGACACTTTGCCGTTGGAACAGCACATGCCTGCAGTCTCATCTTTCCATTATAACCTGTAAGGTCTGAAAGCGCGCGACATGTTATACTCCCGTTCCCTCGCTCCCAGCGCTGCAAAATCGACACGCCTTGTCCATCAGTCCGATAACAACTAACCTGTGATTTTTATAATCAATCAACGGATCATAATTGAATGCTGCGTCATTAAAAACCGACCAATTGTTTCTTTGAAAATTTTGTCGACGTTCAGCTTGGAGCTGTGCATTTGCATCTCTTCGTGCCTGTGTCTGTTCTGGTGTTTCAGATGCCCTTATAGTACATTGACGTTCAGCTTGCTCAATGAGTCTGTGTTGAGTTTCATCAGGTGTTTCTGCGGCTCTTAAGGCGGCCTGACGTTCCGCTTGTTCGGATAGCCTTTGCTGACTTTGAGCAGGTGTTTCAGTAGCTCTTAAAGTAGATTGACGCTCCGCCTGTTCAAGACGCCTTTGCTGACTTTGATCAGGTGTTTCAGTAGCTCTTAAAGTAGATTGACGCTGTGCCTGTTCAAGACGCCTTTGCTGACTTTGAGCAGGTGTTTCAGTAGCTCTTAAAGTAGCTTGATGCTCTGCCTGTTCAAGACGCCTTTCCTAACTTTGAGAAGGTGTTTCAGAAGCTATTAAAGCAGCCTGACGCTCTGTCTGTTCAAGACGCCTTTGCTGACGTTGAGAAGGTGTCTCAAATGCTCTAAAAGCAGCCTGACGCTCTGCTTGTTCTTGCCTTCTCAGTTCAGCATCTTCTAAAGATTCTAGCGATCGAGCTAATCTTTTCGCTTGTCTTTGAGAAGATACTCTTGAAAGGCTGGACTTACGTTTGCGAGGCATTATGAAGTAACAAAAAAAACCTATTTATAAAAAAACGTTAAAATACCTAAACGGAATTAATTTCCTTTTAAATATTTTTTTAAAAGCAAATCCAAAATATCTAAAAGGAATAAATATTCCTTTAAAATATTTTTTAAAATCAAAACAAAACCAATTCAAGACACAACACGAATCCGAAAACGATAGCCAAAAAAAAATCGAATCAACTTAAACCAAATCACAAAACAAATCGCAGAACACCGAAATAGAAAGCAGTAGTCAATATAAATATAACCAACGAAAAAAGAAGTAAGTGTATAGGTACCGTATACACTATCTATACTATTAATATTCCTTTGAAATATTGTTAAACAACCTAAAACAACGAAAACCAATTCTTCTTCTGATTCTAAATAAACAAAATCCAAAATCAAAGCCAGAGTCTAAATATGTATAAAGGAATACCAACCAAATCAACAAAACCGATCCAAGAAAATACACAAATCCGAAAATGAAAGCCAATATAAATCCATTCAACTTTAACCAAATCACAAAGCAAATAAACAACCGAAATCGAAAGCAGGTAGTCGAAAAAGCTACGAAATATAAACAATTTAAGCGTATAGGTACCGTATGCACTATAAGTTGACGCGTGGCTCAACGGCGGGAGTTAAGTACATGTCAGGAAACATATCCTTACCGCGTTTTAAAAACCTAGTAACGACATCTAGCGGAATCATTTTAAACTATGTATACGTTAGTTAATAAGAACTCTCAAAAAATATTTTTCTTATAATTTTGCACAATTTTTCTTATTGTAATACCAATTCCATTCATAACCACATATAAGAACTGTATTCATTTCCGTTCAATAAATATTACTAAGGCTTATTAATAAGGCTTACTAAGAACTGTTTCCACCACAGTTAAGTAATAGTTAAGGGTGAAAGCGTGACAGGTGGTGATATTATTTCTGATCCATACTTATAATCACGCCTGTAACCCTTGCGGAGTAGGCAGAGCATCAACGGATTATTTAATATCGTCTGCGAGGTTATCGCCTATTCTGTGAATTACAAATTTACAATGCACCAAAACGTTTGAAGAAAATCTGTTGCGACGTGAAAGAAGGACAAACTTTTGCAACAAATTCTATTTTCCCACGGGAACGGGAATGAGATGTTTTTCCGCGGAAAAGTAGCCTATGTCACTACAGCCACCGTACTATCCCCATACAAAAAATCATGCCATGCCGACGCTCTGTTGCGACGTGAAAGAAGGACAAACAAACAAACAAACACATTTTCGCATTTATAATATTAAGTATGGATGTAACATAATTAACGCATATCCTGGAAGTAGTTTGTTCAGAATCGTTTACTGAATCGATTCCTATCATTTTAATATAGGTAATTTTTCATCCCAAAAATAATTAAATCTACGTAAATTACAGTCACACTAAATCTGTACTGCCAAAACAAACTGAAATGGATCGTAACTTAAGGCAATAAGACTTTTAAGAGTGCAGTTTTATTTGTATTACTAATTCTGTCATTCAATAAAAATAAAGAAAAATGAACTTTATTTCAAGCACGTTAAAGTCTTTGCGTTCGTGGATTTGTACTGTGACCACACCATTCTTCCGAAATTAGTATAACTAATTTGATAAATAATCAGTGCATAAAAATGTTTAACTAAAATTCAGTGTATGTATTATGATTATAACATAATATACTAATAGGGGTGTCTGAGGGTGTGCGTTAATTACATTACATATTGTAGTACCCGGATGACCAAGCTTTGCTCAGATTTTTTTGGAAATTACATTTAGATATAAATTACATACTGATGAATAATATTTTTTGATCTTATTGACATAATAGAAAAAAAAACTGAACTGGTTATTTGAATAAATAATCATGAGTGCAATTAGTTTAATCAAAATTTTCGTATTTTTAACAAAATACTAAAAAAACGAGCTCGAAATAATAGATTTTCTCACAAAAGAAGGGAACTTGAAAAAAAAAAGGAAAAAAAGTCGGACTGAATACGGGGCGCGAACCAAGGCATTACGATCGTTAGCGATTTGTCAAAATTTACCTTCTTATATTGTAGCAGTTTTTCATTGCCTGAAAACACGGACAAAAAGACATTTTCTAAAAATAAATCCTAGCTAGACCGATTTATTGCCCCCGAAACTCCCTGGACACAAAATTTATTGAAAATCGTTGGAGCCGTTTCCGAGATTCCGATTATATATATATATATATATATATATATATATATATATATATATATATATATAATTTTTTCACACAAGGATTGCTCGTTTAAAGGTATAGGATATAGGTGTAAGTGGCGACAGAGGGAAACTAATCAGAAGATGTGCAGCAGCATCTTCCCAATAAACAGCGGTAGCCAGTCCACTTGCCAAGCGTGGTAACCATGGCAAACGTCCTCCCTATGAGGTAACACGTGGAACATAGACCATGTTCAGCAGTGGAATTTAATAGGCGATAACAATCCTGTACCTTTAAACGAGCAATTCTTGTATATATATATATATATATATATATATATATATATATATATATATATATATATATATATATATATATATATATAAAATCGGAATCTCGGAAACGGCTCCAACGATTTTCATAAAATTTTGTGTCCAGGTAGTTTCAGGGGCAATAAATCGATCTAGCTAGGATTTATTTTTAGAAAATGTCATTTTGTCCGTGTTTTCAGGCAATAAAAAGACTGCTACATTATAAGAAGGTAAATTTTGACAAATCGCTAACGATCGTAATAGCTCAGGTGGGACGTCGGTCGGGCGCGATATCGGAGTGCCGTGGTTCGCGTCCTGGCTCTCGTCTGGCTTTTTACCTTTTTTTTTTTCAAGTTCCCTTCTTTTGTGAGAAAATCTATTATTTCAAGCCCTTTTTTATTTTTTAAAAATACGAAAATTTTAACTAAACTAATTGCACTCATAATTTTTTATTCAAATAACCAGTTCAGTTTTTTCTATTATGTCAATAAGATCAAAAAATATTATTTATGTTTCATCAGTATGTAATTTACACATGTAATCAAAAAAAAAAACCACCCGGTCCGGGTCATCCGGGTACTTTTATATAATACAAGTAATGTAAACCCTAATTTAAAAGCTTTAAAATCATTTATATCACTAATTTTAGCCTATCTTGAACTGAACGAATTTTAAATTATGCTAATGCAAAGTTTCTATATCTCTTTTATGACTATTTTTGCAGTAAATAAAGTGCACGAAAACTCCTTTTTAAAACAAAATACTAGTCAACTATTTATGAACCATCTAAAGTTTTTTCTTTTAAGTAATCCAAGTTGCTGAATGCACCTCACCTGCACCACATATGTAATAAAACGGATAATTTTGGAGAATGACATGTTTCTTGAATATAGGAATGCAAGACTACATCTGTTTATTACTATGTCGTTGTTCAGTTGATTAGAAGAATCTCAAACAGAGATTTGTTGGTAGTTGTTTTTTTTTTGTGGCAAAAACTGTTAACTTAAAAAAAATGGTAACCAATGGTGTGTCGTAATTTGATACATCTAACTCATGCCTAGAGTTCAATATAACAAATTAGACGGACTTATTACCCAGCTTCAACCTTGTTGTCAATATATAATAAATAAACCCATTTTATGGATATCGTAATATTTTTTGCATTTAAAGGTGTGGATCTTTGGAAACAGAGTACAAGACTGTAAATTCAGAGTAACCTTATATAATTAGACTAATAGAATCTTATGAATGTCCTGCAACATCTATCAACCTAGCTGATTCTTTCAATTTAGTGCTGAACACAAGAAAATATTTTAGTATTAGGCTAAAAATAATACGCAATTACTATACCTTCTTCAGATTCTTCTTCCGACTCGGATTCCAATTCTCCCCACATAGTGCGATCTATGTCTTGATCTTCATTGTCCTGTTAAAATGAAATATATTATTATTCTTATTGGACGAATACATTTGCTGAAACTATTCAATTACTCACTTTATAAGCGTAATGAAAGTTCTGACTACTTCGAATTAACAGTTATAATCATTCTATAAAGTGACCAATTACATATTATACAAGTGGTAAAATAAAAAATGTTGTACAACCGACTTCAATATAAATAAAATGAGAGCATCATCAATGTAGTTGAAATCAATTAAATATGCCTTCCAAAGCAAATTCTACATATTAAGGATAACTCAAAAAGGACCAGTCTGATCTTGATCAAATTTATATGGGACCACATGAAAGCATCAGCTTTCAAATAATAAAAGGATCATTAAAATCAGTTCACATGAAAAATGGTCTGAGGTAACACATATTATAAAAAATACAGTCTAATTGAAAACCTTCCTTGAAGAATTCTTTTTTGAAATCGGTTGAAAACAGAGAGATTTTGTATTTAAGCAAAACTACCTGGATGACCGGTTTTTTTTTTTTGGAAAGAGGGTAGGAGATAATATTCAAATACACACATATTTGAATATTATATTTAGATACAAATTTCATACTGATGAAATATGAATATTATTTTTAGATCTTACCGACATAATAGAAAAAACTGAACTGGTTATTTGAATAAAAAATCATGAGTGCAATAAGTTTAATTTAAATTTACGTGTTTTTAAAAAAATACCAAAAAAAGGGCTCAAAATAATAGATTTTCACACAAAAGATCCCCTCTTTTGAAAAAAAGGAAAATAGTCGAACCGAAAACAGGACTCGAACCAAGGTACTACGATTTCGGGTCCGCCCAATATCCCATTTGAGCTATTATAATCATTAACACAGTGCCAAAATTTACCTTCTTATTCTAATAATATTGTAGCAGTTTTTCATTGCCTGAAAACGGATAAAACGACATTTTCTAAAAATGAATCCTAGACCCCATAAATAAATAGATATACATCGTCCCCATATTGTGTTTACTGTATATCATTGTACAGCACAAATGTGTCTGCTAGACCTCAAGATCTTAGTTCTGAAGGCAGAAAACGCATCTGCTCTTCATTATTAATACATGATAGATTCTAATTCCTCTTACCAGGTAGACTGTGACCTTGTTGGTCACCTCTACATCTATACTTTTATAGTATAATGTTTAGTGCGATCAATTAATGAGGGACCTAGAATAATTGAACTTACATCTTGTCCGCTGCTCTGGTGTCCAAAGACATCACCATAAAGCGGCTTGCCTGCCTCATCGACGGGCGGCTTACCCCAACCACCAGCATGATAGCCAAAAGCACATCCATCTGGGATGGGTGCATTAAGTCCTGGGATCTTCAGATTAGGGTAGGAGGGCGGCGGCCCGTAACGCTGTTGGGCGATCAGCCATGGCGGTGGCACCTGTAGAATAATCAAAATTAGCTACATTATTAAATTTCTTCAATTTGTCTTCAATATCCAAAATAGTGTAATTTTTTCTCCTAAATGCCTCCAATCCCCATAGATTGCCATAGCTGAATATTCGTCATAGTTGCCACGCTTAGTAAGCGCAGTTTGGCAACTGTAGTTAATTTTATTTTATTATTATGTTCTTATTATTAAAACACATACGGAACAATATGGGGTAGTGAATACTTACATTGCTACTATATGGTTAGCAGTGCTGGGTAAAGGATTTTTAAATTAGAGTGAGAGATTTTTAATTAAGAGCGTTACCAGCAGGGCTGGCATTACTCCAAATACTCCCGTTAACTATGGGAAGCTATAACAATATCAAACAGGTCAAAGGTGCAAAACACCTGGTACTGCGTTCACATTGTGTATGCGACATCAGCCAAGGCATATGGCAAATCCTACACAGAACAGGAGAAATCCATATCCCGCAGTTGAGTTTTATGGGCTTATAAAATAGATCTCATCATAAATATAATCAATACGTATTTACACAAGCCCCTCATAGTTAAAGAAGACATTTTGGTAAAAAAAAAATATATCACCAACTTAAACCCACAATAATCTCTAAGATTTTCTTGTAGTAATTACGATTTATTTTAAAATATTTATTCACCACCATATTGGTGGTAAATATGTAATGTTAAATTGCAATGAATATGCACATGTATATGAATATGTACAGGACATGTTTGAGAGAAGAATAAAGGCAAACATGCTACTGATATTTCCGAAGATCGTCACATACAGGGCTAAACGTCTCGGCACATAATCACAATATTCCTATCCACACGCCAAATTGTGATTTGGAATATAATCTTATCTAAATTAACCTCTGTCCCCAAGCAGTCGCATCCGACCGCGGCGCTATTCCGTCAAAATTCAAGTGGTCGGATTGGACCGCGCACACCCACAGCACTTTAAACTTAATAGTTTCACTTTAAACTTATATTTGGAGACTACTTTTCTATGAGGAAGTTTGGCATTATAGAATTAATATGAAAATTTCTATCCTCTAGTGGAATAAAAAGTCAAGTTATTCTATATTTATTTATAATCTACGTTCATTTCGTACGCCATTTTCGCGTGAATGTTATTGTGTTGATTTTTGGATTTTTCTAGTGTTTTAGTATAGTGTTTTCTTATAAAATTGTACTGAAAATTTTTGTGTGAATATAATTTATCTTTTTTCGTAAATAATTTCGAGTAATATATATTTAAATAAATGTGATTTTCACGCAGCCGACATTTGCTTGGTCTGATTTGTTTTTGTTATCAAAATACAAGTCTTTTTGTAATGAAGTAAAACCTGACTTTTATATAGAGAATTTGGTAAAGATTTTATAATGCCAAACTTCTTCATAGAAAAGTAGTCCCTAATTATAATTTAATGGTTTTAAGAGCTGTGGGTGGTTACAGTCCCATGCCGACCGCTCGGGTTTTGCCGGGCGCATGCGACTGCATGGGCTTTTTGTTGGGATTGAGGGGTTAAACTAAACTCTAAGATTTTATTTTATTTTGCTGCTGCATTTGTTTCACTGTGAGTTACAAAAACGTATGCAGCTTAGAATAACATAAAAATTCTTCAAACTAAAGGTAGAAGGTAGAAACTGACCTTGTGTGAGCCAGGACCAACTGGCATCCCGAGAGCAGTTCTTAGTTCTTCTGACAGATCACCAGGTTTCTTTTCACGAAGTCTTGTCTCGAATTCCTTACCCTCATAGTACAAGTCTCCATGTATTGTCATACGTGGTTTGGTCTGCCATCTATTAAGAAACTAGTATTAGTAATTTCATTAGAGAAAAAAATTATGAGAGGATTTCATTATAGAGAATAAAGCTAAGGAAAAAAATGAAAATTTTCTGATCATGAAGAGATGTACTACCCATGCGGTTAAAGAATGGGATTGAAGAGGCGCCGCCATTTATTCACCTCTCGCTCGCACACTGTCGCTATCTATACTCACACCTACCGGCAGAGACTGCAAAAAATACATTGCGATATGCGTTTTTCGTACGTTCTATAACTTCATTCCAACATTTCTTACTGGAATTAACAATAACAAAATGCCATATACCACAAAAAAAATCAGTCCAGTTTTGGCTTATTTGTGAGCTAAGACGCGTTCTAAGTTTTTTTCACAATTTGATGATATTTATGAAGAACCAGTTGTAAAATTTTCCTTTGCCTGTTTGTCTGAACTCATCTTCGGAATGGTTGAACCAATTGCAATAAAACTTCACGAACAAACAGAGTGCAATACCAGAAGTGACCTAGACTTAATTATAAACATTTAGAGGTTTTATTAAAACAGAAATATTTTTAAGATAAAATAAAACGACTTTAATGATTATCTTAACTCTAAATAACATTAATAGAAACCACCCAGACAAAGTCAGAGCGGTAGCTATAAATTTAATTTTAAATCGATGTACCTAGTTAGTTCCGTGTAGTTTTTTTTTTCAATATGTTTTGTCTTTAATAGATAATTTGCAATTAACCGAATAATATAACGTTATAAAGACATATCATTATTAACGGGTTTTTGCTATAGGTACTGCGCATGTTGACGGCTTTCTCTTAATCTCTCTTGCTTGCTACCATTTCTTGCAGTTTTTTAACATCTTTAAACAATATTGAGAGGAGGAGGAAAGAAACCTTATTAAATATTAAACAGTTACAAATTCCACCTTGTATCTTATATCACACTTTATTTGTTTAGGCTGTTGTAGCATACACTTATTTCACTAGTAAAGTCGGAAGATCTCAATTTGATCAATCGATTCTTGTAATAAAATTTTCTTATTTTCTTCAGTCACACTACAATGCATTAGTGCACACATTATCATTCAAAGAACTTCTTACACTATCATTCAAATAGCTTCTCATTTTATCATTTAGATAGCTTCTGAAATTATCATTCATACATCTTCAATAATATCAGAAGTCAAATTAGTTTCCATATGCAACATTTTATATAACCTTATAAAAGTTAAACATTATTTATTTAAATAAAATAATATATAAAGTTTAATTCAGATTAATTTGCAATAAACAACAAAGACCATAGTTTACTCACCTCAAGAAGTAAACAAGCAATTTCATGTTGAGGTATCGTGACCAACAGCTTTATGCTTAGGAGGGAAAAAAAGATAACCAGTGTTCAACTGGATGCAATGAGATCAATATGTTCGAATTCACCTCTTTTCTTGATCACATTGTTAAAATATATAAAGATAACATGAAATACATTAAAATAAAAATATTTTAAGTTTATTTTTATAGAGCAACAAAATATGCTATTAAGTGGTTATAAAATAAACTAAGTAAGTACTTAGAGAGAATGCAAAGGTTTATAATTGGGGTCATAAGAAAAAAAAATCTATATTTAAAAAAAAAACATTTCATCAATTCATTACAACTTATCAAACATCTTAAATTATCCAAAAGTTTAGTTATTAACAACAAGGTGAATTATTATTAATTCTAAAATACTTAAAGATTTGCCTGTCTCATAACTAGTAATTTTAAGTGCTTTCTATGTTGAAAAAGATGCAGATATGCTTTTTTACTTATGAATGCAATGTTATAATGGCTTCTTTCAAGTTATCAATCCTTAACATAACAGGTGAAGAACCTCCAAAGGTTCTTTAATCACCTATTTGTAGTAGAAATAAGGGTAAGTGGGTGCCTGTGATTGTGCTTACTCCCACAGCTATGCAAATACCTTCTCTCATTTATGAGAAGATATGGAGCAATAAGTCTGCTGCGCTGCTACAATGCGTGTTGACAGATTTCACATGCCTTCAAAATATTTTTTTATTACTCAGAAATGCAGATTTTCACAATGTTTCACTTTGCCACCGGGCATGTGATAAATTATGCTTATAGTTGTGGCATTATAATATATCCTGCACAATTGACAAGTTCCCTTATTGTTTGACACTGGTAGGAATTAATCAAGAAAACAACATTACTATCTTGATTACCACCAAACCTATTTTCTGAGTTGAAGAAAATGAAAAATACTCACTTAAAGAAAGCATCATGCAATTTCTGGTAATCAATATCAATCTTTCCCAACTTGGGTCGAGTCCGTTCACGCATTTTGGCCTTAAGAGTCTTGGTCTCTTCTTTATCCTGCAGGGAAGCGCGCATTTCCATGATGCCAGTCTTCTTAATAAAGTCTGGTAGATCAAATGGTGGTTTCTCTATACCTCTCTTTCCTTGTAAGTACTGTAAATAGACAAATTTAATTATATTCATACTCTGATTTTTTGCAAGAAAACCCTCAAATTCAATACCTTCTAGAATAAATCTTTCAACTCTTATATATCAGATGCCAATTTAGAAAAATTGCTGATTTTTTTCCACAAGCAGTATAATTAAAAAAATGATTAAATAAATATTCCTGCAAACATTTGATTGCTAGCCATCTTATAAAATTATATCATTCATTCATTTTAATACATGAAAATATACTAATTATAAATTGCACATGTATCACAGACAGGCACTGCTATTGGGTATTTGACACTGCATTCAATTAAAATACATTTTAAGAGCTTTAAAAACAAACAATTCTATGAAAATCATGTAATGATGTTAGTTTCTGTAGTCAAATAATTATCTAAAATGTATAATTTAAATATTGTTAGAAAATCGATTACTTTTTGAAACACTAATTCATGTGATAAATTTTAATTATATGAACGGTCTGATTATGTTAATTTATTGATGACAATCTTAACTACCCAGGCACACAATACATCTGTTGAAAATTGTGGTTGACTTTATTTTACATTTGCTGTCAGTTTTGTTGTATTATGTAAAATTGATAAATCTTTGTATTTAGTACAGATGTATTCTTTATATTAATATATTATTTTAGGTTACTAAGTGTTGTCATAATGAAAACATAATGCAATTGCGAAATTATTCCAATTTGTTATACAATAGCAATGAAATGACAAAATAATTATTTGTAAAGCATCCAAACAATTGACTAAACTTCCAGCTATGTGTATATTGTTATTGTTTTTTTTTTTATAGAAAAGGGGGCAAACGAGCATGCAGCTCACCTGATGTTAAGTGACTACCGCTGACCATGATCAACCGCAACACCAAGGACTTGCAAGTGCGTTGCCGGCCCTTTAGAAAGGAGTAAGCTCTTTTCTTGAAGGTCCCCAGGTCGTATCGGCCCGGAAAAATCACCGGTGGTAAACTATTCCACAGAGAGCTTATGTCAGTGTTATTAAAGAAAACATAAAAGAGGGCTATATTTTTTTTATAGAAGAGGGGGTAAACAAGCATACGGCTCCCCTGATGTTAAGTGACTACCGCCGCCCATGATTAACCGCAATACCAGGGGAATTGCAGGTGCGTTACCGGCCCTTTCCGGTCGTATCGGTCCGGAAAAATCGCCCGTGGTAAACTATTCAACAGAGAGTTCGTACGCGGAAGAAAACTCCTTTTGAAACGTACAGTGGTGGACCGCCAAGCATCCAGATGGTGTGGATGGTATCGGGACGTTTGCCGCGTAATGCGTTCACGAAATTTGGCGGCTGAGATTAATCCGAACAATTCCTCAGAGCACTCCCCATGGTATATGCAAAAGACAATGCAAAGAGATGCAACATCTTTTCGTAGCGCCAGTGAATCCAGCCGATCGGAAAGCACTCGGTTGTCGATGATTCGATGTGTAACTACTGCTCCGTATGTATCCAACGTAATATATAATACGTAATAGATATCCAAGTATAATATTACCTTACGCTTATAACACCAATGCCTTGGGACCTGCACAGTGTTTCTGTGCGCTTTCAACTGAACGAGAAGCTTGGGATCACGCGCGGTTACGTCGTACATTTCGACCACATCTGGTCGCGATACCAACTGTTTGAGCTCTGCTACGGACAAACGTGACAGCTTCTTGAGTTTACGTTTCGAGAGACGCTCCTTTTCATCGGCTGCGTGTTTCTGAAAATAGTAAATCGATGATTGAGTTTTATTTTACCCTATTGTGAAGAATATATACCAATTAGGGTGGTATTTAACAGATACATGAATGGGGGCTAAAGTTTCGATTTCTTAAAAAATCAAAATCCTATACCCCTTGCATTGCAGCTTAGTGCGAACATGTTTTTTTTTTTTGTATATTAATGTCAACATTTAACCTAAATGAAATACGTTTTTTCAAAATGATTTCACTGACAAAAATATGACATCATATTTGCCAAAGAGGTCATTTAAATGATGTGTAATTATTTTTTTTCTTCTTTTTTTTTATAGGATAGGGTGACAAACGAGCACACAGTCCACCTGATGATAAGTAGTTGCTGCGGCCCATAGACATCTACATCTATCCTCGATTACGAATCAAAATGCAGATGCGTTGTCACCCGTGAGGACTAAGATGGAATGCCTCGTTTCCAGTAAAAAGGGTCTCCAGTCTCTACACTCAACATACGAAACACAGCAGCGTTAAGCTACTATTTCATGTTGGTATTCTGTGAGAGCGTGGTCCTTCCCCGGTCGAGCCGACCCATTCGTGCTACAACTATACTACTAATATAACTGCTATATGGCTCTACCACGTACCACGTACAAGATATTGCAAACTGTGTAACAGTTGCTGCAAAAAATAAATATGCACTAATCACTTTCCTTCCCTTCCTGAAGTCTCTTTTGAATTGGATAGTGTTTTTAGCCTAACCCTTTGGTTCTGTTCATTCACTGGTATGTAGAAACTTCAATAATCTACATGCTCAGCTTTAGAAAAATCTAGTAGTAGTAGGGACTGCTGAGCTTCTTCGGGGAGATATCATGGCTCGAATAACCATAGTATTCCTGCCCACACGCAAAATATGCGCTAAGACGTGGAGTTGCGGAAAACAGCCCGTCGTAAACTAAACTAATCTCCCCCGAAGATGTTCAACAGTCCTTTGATGTTGTAAACAACTTCGGGGAGCGATCCCGGCGTGCCGAGATATTTAGGCTTGTATGGAGCAACCTCCGGACATGTCAGCAACACGTAAGCCGCCCTTTCTTCCTACCCCATTCATGCCCTGCACAGGGGGCTATCTGTAACACCTATGGTAAATAAATGTTTGTTAAAGGAGCCATGTCCTATGATAGCACTTGTTACTATCCTGATCTGAGGCTTGTTCAGTCTCATTAGAAACTTGGTTAGAGGACTGTTTATTTCAGGCAGGACCTCTCTAGCTTGTCTACAGTCTACAAAATTTTTCCAAAGCTGAGCGTGTAAATTATTGAAGTATCTACGTACCAGTGAACGAATGTAGCTAAAGGGGATTGGTATTATTGGTTCCGGCCCTATAGTTGGCCTATAGCCAGGGCCAGGGCTTCTAGATCCACTGTGTCCCTTCATCTATTGCAGAGTCACATTGTTGTGCTTACATACCTCATTCAATCGTTGATGGCACTCGTATATCAGTCCCGAGTTCGTCACATTGCAACTCAGAGCTTGTAATACCGGCATACTGTCGGTCAGTATTCTGATGGAGAAGTCTTTCACCTTCCTAGCATCTATTGCTATGGCCGCTTGGATGATACCCATGCATTCAGCCTGAAAGACTGTGTTGTGGGTACCCAGCGGTGATCTTCAGGGAGATTTCTTGGCTCGAATAATGATATTCCTACCCACACGCAAAATACGCGCTCAGACGTAGAGTTGCGGAAAACAGCCCGTCGTAAACTAAACTGTTTTTAACATACAATTGTATTATCTATATTCTGACATTCAATAATACTAAAACTAATTTGCTACAAGGACCTAACTCTTTTTGCTATCAGGAGTAAAATACAGTTACAGTTAATATTAAAATCTTCATGTGATAAAACTGATACGAATAAGTGCTGGTTCATTTAATTATAAAGATGTTGCAACTAAGCACTTTAGCGTAATTTTAGATCTACAATAGTCTTTATATCCACATGGATATTTCAGACCTTAAGACGTTGCTTTGGCACAGACATTGCATCTGTGTCTGGGATGGGGTCGCAAAAATTAACCTCTCGGAAGGTCGAAAAGGCTTACAAAGTTTAGTCAAAGTATACTTTACGTCATTTAGATTTATAGAATATGTCCAAGACACGCACAAACACACATACTTCTCTCTACTTAAATGAGCTTAATGTGAAAACTCTTTATCTTTGTGTCCTAAAGCATTGAAAAAAGCACAAGATCTTCCTCTTATACATATTATAAATGAAAATAGTTTCACATTTTACACAAACCTCCACAGCTTCCTCGTCAGCAGCAAATTGATCCTGCACCTTCTCTAGAGGCTTAGAACTCGTCTTTGGTGCATCTTTACCAGCCTCTTCTTTGATGGCATCCTCTTTTTTTTCAGTGATTTTAAATGCTTCTAGAATACGATGAAACTGACGGTACATAGGCTCCAGTTCATGAAATTGAATATTCTCCTGGATGTATCTGGAAATATTACAAATAAAAAATAGGTAAAATTATTTTTTCATTAGTGAGTTTGAAAACTATTTCTTTGTGGAACATTTACTTATATTACATAGATAAAAGCAGTAGTTAGTCTAATATTTTATATCTAAGTGGGATGGTATCACATTTATTTTTTACCATTTAAAAATGTCATATAGTGACGGCGGCGTAAGAGAATTCATTGTCTGTGTGGGTGTCATTTAATATAACAGAGGGAATCTGTAACAGGAGATGGGCAGCAGCATTTTCCTGACAACTCAAAATAATAAAGAACTGGATATTTCAACCTGCTTGCCTATCAACTAAGTAACATTAAAAATATGACAAGAGATGTTCAGAAATCAACAAAATAAAACAATATGTTTTATAACCAAATCTTACTCACTCCTCATTAATCTATAAACAAATTTTAAGAACAATCTCAAATACTAACTCAATTTCAACTTCTTTTTCATTTTCTTTGTTACTAGACTTTTTGGGATCATTTGGCTTTTCATTCCTCTGTTCATCCACTTTTTTACTTTCATTTCTTTTTTGACGTGCAGCCTTCCTTTTCTTCTTTTTGCGTTTATTTTTGCTAGCTTTATTAGCTTGACCCTAAAAAATAAGGGAAACTGATATTAGGCGTGATTTCTTTAGCCGTGTGGTGGTAGCGAAAATAAACCATCACCTCATTTACTGCAAGGGGAAATGCCAGAAAGAGCACTTCTGAAATAAGGTGTTATCTTGCTTCTACTAAACATAAAACATGCTAAGTGGCAGTGGGGACCATTGTCAAAATATAAAATGTTGAATACTGAAATCGCCAATCTGCCAGCCAAGATTATTAATTAAACCAAATCCTCAGTTCAGCAGTGACATTCATGATACTGTTTTTGTATTCACCTTGTCCTATGCTGTGTTCAAAATTATGCCTACGGAAATGTCAAAAAATCTGATATATCAATTAATGGTAGTTTTTCATTAAAAACTCATTCTAGTCACACAAATAGTGAGGGTTTAAAAATTAGGCTACCTACCGTTAAGTCTCACTATGTTAAATTTCTCTCCTCACCTCATCAAGAAAATAGTAATATTTTTTTTTTATATAGAATAGGGTGACAAATAAGCACACAGTCTACCTGATGGTAAGTGGTTGCTGCGGCCCATAGACATCTACATCTATCCTCCATTACAAATCAAAATGCAGATATGCGTTGTCACCCGTGAGGACTGAGATGGAATGCCTCGTTTCCAATAAAAAGGGTTTCCGGTTCTCAACACTCACCATACAAAACACAGCAGCATTAAGCTACTATTTAACGCTAGCATTCTGTGAGAGCGTGGTCCTTCCCCGGTCGAGCCGACCCATTCGTGCTACAACTTTACTACTAATATAACTGCAGCATGGCTCTACCACGTAAAAAATTCTCCCTTATGTCCCAACTTGTGTAAAAAACACTGGAATTTATTATATAAGCTTTTCTTTCAATATTCAATCATACCTCTTGTTTTGAAATAACAGGGGGTAATGGAGCCTCTGGAATATTGTCATCATCTGAATCTCCATCTTCTTCAGCATCATATTCAGAGCTGATCACAGGAGCAGGAGGAGCCTCTGGTGGGTTGTCTTGTTCTGCAATTAATTATAATTAATGTTAGTGAAATATTACCTACACTTATAAAGAGCTTAAGTGATTTGTAAGTATGTAAGTACAAACTATTTATGAAAGAAATGTAACTGTGTAAAATGTAGGAGAAATAAAAATAAATATTTGTATATTACATCTAGAAATATTAGGTACAAAATATGTATATAAAAATAAACAATGCACAATTTCAAAAAAAAAAATTAGTAAGAGAAAATCTCTTTAATTACTGATCCAATTCTTATATCTCTTTTTTGCCTAATGAGTAATGATTGACTGGGATAGGATATGGCAATAAATCCGCCACTTTGAGTAAAAAAGAAATAAAATTTCTTTTCACTGATAGAAAGATGCTTGAGTGACATAGCTATGTTTTAATTTGGTTTCAGTATAAAATTAGCATCAAAATATGTCTATTATAGTCCCTAATATTTATCAGTATCCCTATCAGCATGTGCTGATCAAATGGTTCAATAAAAATGAGTGTTTTGTAAATTAACAGTTAGATCAGCTATACAGCAGGCCTGTGATAGTCAAAAGACTGTATTGATATCATCAACTATCAACTCAACTATGAACTCCGAAAACCTAAAATATATTGTTAACAGAAAAGACCACCGAACATTTAATACAGAGAAACCCTAAACTATTAATAAAAAATACACATGAAACAAACAACAATACAAGGTGGACAATATAGGAAAGTGAATTCTCTGACATCACCACTACACATGGCAATTAGAAACAGTAGTAAAAGTAGGATTTAGTTTAGTTTTCATAAAATATAGTCTTTTTTACTAAACAATCATAAATGTGATTGTTTAGTAATTAATATAACATAATGCCATGGTTGCAGAGGCTCATATTGACGGGTTTGAAGCCATAATGTGCAAAAGATGTGCGTCTATGCTGTATTGCATGTCCTGAGTGTACTAGCAGACAGATGGGGTTCACCAATGTTGGGGCGTTGGATAAATCTTCATATAGCAAATTAGACACGCCAAGACCTTGATACATATGTTAATTTTCTTTAAGGTTAATAAGTCTTAGATTATAAATTTTTAACAAATAGGGATAATTGGTCTGAAATATAAGAATTATACACACTCATAGTTAAGTTGTTGAGAATTATACATTATTATATTAAATTTTGACAGTGGATTAATGATTATAAATAGCTCAATTGGGATAATGGACGGTCACCAAATCTTAGTTAACTGGTTCGAGTACTGTCTTTATTTTTTATTCAAATAACCAGTTCAGTATTTTCTATTATAAAAATATTATTTGTATTTGTGTGTAATGTAAAATGTAATTTGTATCTAAATATAATTTCCAAAACACACGAATTAAAAAAAAATACCTGGCAAAGCTCGGTCAACCAGGTACTATTAATAATACACTCACCGGCATGGAAACTTGGCCACTCGTGAATTTGCTGATTATTTGCACTGAAACGTTTTTTTAACAGTAAATTAAGGTTAGATGCATTCAATAAGTGTCTCTAATGATTTTAGAACATAGAAATTTAATGTTTACTTCACCGAAATTTTTCTTTTCAAGATAACATGTTTTCACTAAAATTAACATCTTTCCATTGTCACTTTAAAAACACTACAAAGTTAAAAATTAAGTCTGTTTCTTTATTGTCTATCAGTTTTAATATCGGGTGTTTCCTCCTCTAGCCCTGATAACCGCTTGCATTCGATCTGGCATGCTTTGAATGATGTTTCTGCTGCTGGACTTTATCTTTCTTTTGAGCATACCCCATACATGCTCAATTGGATTTAAGTCTGGGCTACGAGCTGGCCACTGTAATTTTTGTATTCCAACCTCTTCCAGATATTCCTCTACACAATGTGCGACGTGCGGGCGTGCATTATCGTGCATGAGGAGGAATTGGTCGTGTCCAATGAATCCCGAATAAGGCATTACGTGCTCCTGAAGAACTTCCTCGATGTATCGAGTAGCTGTAAGCCGATTATCGACGATGACCAACTCTGTACGTGCGTCGGAACTTACACCTCCCCATACCATTATTGAGCCTCCATGGAAACTCACAGTTTGGGTGGTGGTAATGGGTAGAAACCTCTCTCCTCTTTTTCTCCACACTCGTTCTCGACCGTCTGGAGCACGTAAAGCTATTCGACACTCATCTGTGAACAACAGTCTAGCCCATTGCTCGTGGGTCCAATTGACATGTTCTCTTGCGAACTGAAGTCGGGCTACTCGGTGCTGTCTGAGAAGTTCTGGACCTCGTGCTGGTCTACGAGTTTTTAAATTCACTTCCTCCATTCGTCTTCTCACCGTAAGCTCACTAACATTAACGCCTCTTGCGATTTGGAGCCGCTGGCGTATCTCAACAGCGGTCAGGTAGCGGTTTCTCAAAATCTCCATAACAATAAAACGATCGTCCCGGGCCGATGTGCACCTTACGCCCCCACTGTCTGGCCTGCGGGTGTAGCGGCCTGTCTCCTGGTATCGTTTCAGTGAATACTGCATTGAGGACCGTGGTACGTTAAGCACAATAGCAACTTCACGCTGTGTCAGCCCTTGGTCAATTAATGCTACTGCTTGTGCAACTTGTGCTGGTGTTAATGGCATTTTTATTGGCTTTAAAGCACCTTTAGCTATTTAATTAAGACACAAGATCACAATAATTGAATAACCTTACAGTAAACTTTTCACAACACACAAATTTAAAATGTGACCTTAGTCGCTCAAATGACCCGATTCAACTAAAAATTAAAGAATTCGTCATGGTGCACTTAAACATAATGAATTACCCTCTTGAACTTGAGGGTAAACATTTTTTGACATACTTGCATAACAAACATTCATCAGAAACACTTAAAGCTTTTGCTATCGCGAGATAACCGCTTGGCCAAGTTTCCGTGCCGGTGAGTGTAGGTAATATTTGCAGTGCTCTTGCAAGGTTCTCATTTTGAACTATTTTTTATAACTAAGACCAAATATATATATTAGGGATGGGTCGAATATTCGTTTCATATTCAGTATTTGGCATATTTGGCATCTTTACCGAATATTCGGCTAAATCACTGAACATTCATTAAAGCTACTCGCAACTCAAGTACATTGCTACTCAAGGTGTCCACTGTCTTGAAATGTACGAATTGAGTAATGCCATGTCTTTCATAAGTTTACTGTTGAAAGTATATTTTATTTATGGGCTAAATCTACTTGTATAGCATTATGTTTTGTAGGCACTGTAGATTTATTTCCAATTATAGCAAATATAACGCTTGGTAATCAAACATCAGTCTCTCTAAAATATCTCCAAACAGTAGATCTCCTGCCACTCATTATTATCATATACCAATTTTCTCTAAGAATAACACAACAAAACAGTTTTTTTTTACAAAATTAGTCAACATAAGCACATGCTGGCTATTAGCACAGTACTAGTTGATGCAATAACATGTCAGGTGTGGCCGGGAAGTGAGGGGCAGGGTCTGGCGTTAATCCCGCGCGCTTTGTGGTAACAAGTTTCTACATAAATTGGTTAGGTACTGAAATAATCCTGCCGAATAATGTTCGGCCGAATTTTCGATTCGGTAAAATGTTTACTGAACGTTCGGCCGAATACTCGTATTCGGTAAAATCCATATTCGGCCCATCTCTAGTATATATGTATACAAGTATAGTAAGCAAATAAATTGAATTTAATTAAATCTATAAAAAAATATGGTTTCCATCCTGCCTGCCATACATGGCAACTATACTAAATATCCAATGAGGTAACCTATGGCAAAGGATAAGATAAGCTGTATGATTTTAAATAAGCTGTTACAGAGTAAGCATTCAACATTTTATGCCACATCTATACAAGTCAACTAACTTACCAGTCTCTTTTCTTTCTTCATCCCCCAAAGCAGCTTGTCTTTGATCTTTGTAAGCAAGTGCTTCCTCTAAGGCTTTTGGCAAGACAACTCCACTAGCAGGAGCAGGCTTATTGCGGAATTCTTCTGGAGTATCAATTTTCATTGTCAATAACGATGGTAATGGTCCGGCAGAACCCTGTTGAGACCCAGATTCTTTCTCTTCACCATCATCTTCTTCCTCATCATTATGATGATCATCCCACCCAGGAGGACCTTCAGGGCGGTTTTGCCGCCCCCATCCTGGAGGACCCTGACCGTCCCAGGGCCCATGGCCGATTCCTGGAGGCCCCATATTGGGTGGTGGACCCATGCCTGGTGGGCCCATATCCATGCCAGAATTGTTGAAATTTGCATTCATATTTGGGCCTCCACGCATCATTCCGGGGGGCATTCTAGGAGGCCCCATTCCAGGTGGACCCATTGGAGGTCCCATTCCCATACCTGGCGGACCCATACCAGGTGGCGGCGGTCCCATTCCAGGTGGTCCCATGCCCATCATTCCAGGTGGCGGACCCATTCCCGGAGGCATATTTGGAGGTCCGCTGGAAGAACTCACAGGCGGCATCGGCCCAGGAGGGCCCATCGGTGGAGGAGGCATGTTGCCGGGACCCATCGAACCTGGTGGAGGAGGCATGTTGCCGGGACCCATCGAACCCGGTGGAGGAGGCATGTTGCCGGGACCCATTGAACCCGGCGGTGGAGGCATTGGTGGAAAGCTTGGCATGCCTGGTGGCCCCATCGAAGCATTGTTTGAAGATGTTGTACCAGGTGGCACTTCCATTTCAAAATAATAACAGGTTCTTAATTCAAGTGAACCAGTTACATTAATAATGAATATAAGACGACTTTTAAAATAAAATAATTTTTTCACTTCTTTTAATCAAATGTCATTCACTCATTCGATAAAAAACTGAATAATATTAAATCTATGTAAAATAATAATTATTCAATTATTGACGCACAAACTAACTATATCAACGCCAGGTTATTACAATCATAGACTAGGCATGTCGATCTAAAATCGATTAATCGAAAAATCGATTCTTTGGAGTAAAATTAACGATTTTTTAGATCGATTCGAAGCACCGCATCGATTCACTGAATCGATCCAAAAACCTATTGAATCGGACCGATTCATTTGATTCAAGAACTAGCAAAAATTCCCACACTGGCCGGGGTAAGATACCACAGTTTTTTAATTTTTTGCTGTTGGGGGACGCAAAAATAACCGGTCGTACTTGGTTGATAATTTGAAAGCAATATATATTTGAATAAAATAAATGTTTATGAACGCATCCAACAATATCGAAAAGTTGTCATTTCATTTTCATTTCTAAAATTCTTAAGCCCACTTTCCACTAAGGGATATAATGTAATTTAATTTAATATTACATCTCGAGATATAAATTAATATCGCTCACCGTACTTTTAAATAGAACCGTTTCCACTGAGGTGTAATATTAATTATATTTTTTCGATCGATCGAGCGATATTTTCATATTATATTTCACCTCCTGTGCTATAATATAATATAATATTATAGCTGTGAACCTGTTTGAACTGTGAACTTGTGAATTTACATTATTTATTATCAAAAATATACATACTGTGAGCTGTAAGTAAAGACAGAGTACTTTTTAAATGCCTAGATACTGTAAAAAATATTATACCGTACGTTGACGTTTATAGAGGTTTATAGTAAGGAAATAACCAGTATTGTGTTCGTCTAGCATTCATTTCAATATGATAAATAGTGAGTTATTAGATTGAAACAGATTTATCGAGAAATTTACGTTGAAGTTTGCACTTTTGTAAGTATTGTTGTTGTTTTTAGCCTAAAATGTCAAATAAAAGTGTTACGTGGAATCACTTTGTAAAAAAAGGGATCGGTGGAGTATGTGCGAACCACTCCTAACACAAGCGTTTCAAGCTTACCGGGAGTGGATAAAAGGGATATTAGTAATTTTAATCAATAAGATTACTAATATTTTATTTAAAAAAATATTACAGTTTAGAAGTTAAAGAAAAAAATCGAAAATTATCGAAATTTCATGTTTGAAAATGTAGCGATTAATAGAAAATCGATCTTTTATTCCTCGATTTGATCGATAATCGATTCAAATGCATTCGATTCAAATCGATTCAGAGATCGATTTTTTTAAGAGTGAATCGACATGCCTATCATAGACAATAAAACGCACTAATTAATAAATACAGTGTTGCCAGATTTTTTTCACCTTCCCCCCTAGATTTTTCCAAAAAACCCCTATGTAGAGGGATAAAAAACCTCTGAATTTTTATTCGGTCAAGTTTCATGTGAATCATATTTATCAAAAATAAAAAGTTGCTACTACATACAAGCTAAGTACTTAGACCATTCAACCCAATGGACGAGTAATGCGCTTAATGCTACGAATAAAAAAGTCACTTTTGGTGCGGGGGGAAGAAACACTACATAGACAGTACTGCACACCGACTCAATAAAATTTTGTGTCACTAAGGCATGTACGAATCTAAATCTCCAACACTATTACATTTTATGCACACATGTAGGTTAAATACATCAATATAGAAAAAGTTATGAACGTAAGGCGGACAAATTAATTGCGATTCTACCATTGTTAGCGACGACAAAGTGAATTCGAACATTTAATCTTAATTATTTTCTTATCAGTGATTTAAAACTGAGTGATAGTATTTAATCTTAATTGTTTCCTATTCGTAAAATAAAGCTAAGTGTAAAGACTGATTAGTGCTGAAAACGGGAAAGTAAATTAAACACTTCTATTCTTATCTTAAAGTAACTTATATGAATCTATTTAATATTATTTAGGTCTGATTAGAACATTAGACGCAAGTATAAGCTTATTTTCTAGTAAGATTTCTTTTATCATAACTTTAAGAGGTATTAACACATAGGTGATTAATGTAATTCTTTTTACTTTAAAGTAATTCAAAAGAAACATTAATATGTCAATTAATCACTATACAATGTCATTTCATTATGAGAAAGATTTAAATTTTATGAAAAAATATTGTATAGATTCTTAAGCATTAATCCTGAAAAAAAAGTGTTGTACATTCCTACCTCTTGGCGGCGCTACTTGTATGTTCGGCAAAAAATACTATCCTACTCCGGAGCTAAACCGTGAAGCGACCGCGAAGCTATTTTTATTTTTTATAAGTGTAAAATAAAGGTTTATTGAATAATTTAGGTTTAGAATAATAGAAATAAGTTGTATCTATCGCTAGGAATAAATATAAATATTGTAAGATATGTTTTACCACGTTTATTAAGGAAATTGTAAATCCCTCTTAGAAAGGGTTATTCTGTGCTCTGATTGGTCAATAGATTCACTAATGCCGTGTGCGATTTTTTCTTAATTACGATTGGTTACAGCCGCTTATAAAAAAGGGGCGTTTTTCGTGGTAAAACATTCCAAATCCGGCAATGTAATAATAAAGAATTAAGAAATAAAATAAGAAGAAACTCTCAAGAAGTGTTATTTATTGCTCATCTAACTGCTACTGTATGCTCTCCAGTTAACATCCCGCCAGCAAACCCGCTCTATTTTATCGACGCTCCCTTATACGAGCAATTACAATTGGTCCTTCGAGAAGCCGGATCGGGTTTAAGGAAAACTAGGAAGATGCCTTCAAATACAAGATCAAAATCAGTGCAGTCGAAGACTACGAGTGAAAGCAACGCCACTACGGGTACCAGTACGACGGATTGGAGCATGAATACGCCGAGTGATTCTACAAACACGACGGCTACCAACACGTCGACTTCAGATCGATCGACGCTTACAAGAGCATCGCCCAGCAGCGTACACAGACAACCCGTACTCCTTAACAAGAACATTGCCGGAAAAGAATCAACACCGGGGGACGTAACCCATACCACCCCCCGACACGCACCGTCGAAGCGTCAGTTCCTCACCAAGAAGAAAATCATCCAACGCCGCAGAATCAAGAAAGAAGTGTCGCAATGAAGACTCTGCAGCAGCCTCACCCTAAGAAGACGACCCGCGATCCAGACACGCTTTCCGTTCGCTCGTCGCATAGGAAGAGAGCAGAAGCGCAAGCAAAGATGACAATGGCATTAAGGGAACTAGAATTGGCAGAAGCGCGGTCAAAAGTTGCTCAAGCGGAATTAGAACTTCTCACCGCGGAATCAGAAGAGGAAGATGGTGCCGGAGAAGAGCTGTTCGAACGAACTCGAGAAGTCGAACGCTGGTTCATCCAGACCGGAGACATGCCTAATAAGAACCACAAACCAATAGAGGCAGAAGAAAAGAAAAGTGACATCCAGGAACTAGCTTCAGTCATACTAAAGCTATCAGAAAAATCACGTGACACCGTTTCACCGAAGCACCTAGAACTCCCTCACTTCAACGGGGCCTGCGAAGAATGGTTAGCCTTCAAAAGATCATACGAGGATACGGCTGCTTCTTTCAGTAGCAACCAAAACCTAGCGCGCCTTAGAATAGCGATCCAAGGAAAAGCTAGAGAAGCCGTCCAAAGCCTGCTGTTCACCGCCGAAGACCCACGCGAAGTGATTAAGGGACTGGAAGCAAGATTCGGAAGACCTGGAGCACTAGCATTAGCAGAACTAGAGAAAATGAAGAACCTCCCAAGAGTCGGCGAAAACCCGAGCGACATATGCATATTTGCAAGCAAAGTAAAGAACGCAGTCGAGACAATCAAAGCCCTGAAGAAACCACAGTATCTCAGTTCACCTGAAACGCTGAGAGTTATAGTAGACAAGATGCCGACGTCAATGAAGTTCCGTTGGTTCGCCTACCACAGAAGCAGAAGAGATGAGGAAATTCAGGAGCTATTACTTATCGAAGCGTTCCTAGAAACAGAAGCAGACATGTGTGGAGACTTCGCCCCGCCCGAAGCGTCCTCAGAACAAAGAAGAGGAATAAGAAAACCCGTTCATTTGGTTCAAGAAGCGTCAAAAGAGAAATATAAGAAGTCGTGTCCGTTCTGTGGGGAAGAACACTTCGCATTAGAATGTAAAAGGTTCAAAGAAGCCAATCTGAATGAAAAATGGAATATGACCAAGAAAGCAAAGATATGCTTCAAGTGCCTTCGATTCAGACACTCAAGAATCAACTGTAAAGCACCAGTCTGCAAGTTGTGTAAAAGATGGCATCATACCATCTTACATTCTGACAAACCACCGGCGTCGATAGAAAAAGAAGCAAAAGACACCAATAGCACCTCAGAAGAAAAGGTCTCCTCAATTCATAACGCCAAAGGAGAAGAAAAGGCCCACCTAAAGATGATCCCCGTGAACCTCTATGGCCCAAAAGGACAAGTTCGCGTATTGGCACTACTAGACGAAGGGTCAACGGTCACACTCTTAGACGCATCAATCGCTGAGAAAATCGGAGTCGAAGGAAAGAAAGAAAAACTCACGATCGAAACCGTCGGCGGAAAGGTATTAAGAAAAGAAAGTTCACAGAAGATCGAGTTCAAAATAAAAGGGGCTCATAGAAAAGAAAAAAGAACTATCGTAGCAAGAACCATCGATGACCTGAAGCTGTCCGAACAATGCATAAACAAGGACACCGTGAGAAACTGTGAGCACCTGAAGGCAATTGAAAATCAACTCCTCTACGTCTCCGAGAGGCCCAAGCTACTGATAGGCCATGACAATTGGGGACTGATAGTGACAAGAAAACTGAAGAAGGGCAAACCATCAGATCCTGTAGCTTCCCTCACGAACTTAGGGTGGGTGCTACACGGATGTGAAACAGGAACAACTGC